AATACATGAACAGTGTAACTCCACATCATGCACAACCACAGAAGGGGAAGTTATACCCCACATATGTATGATATGTCAAAATACACTCTACTGTCATGTATAACTAAAAAGAACAAATAAAAAAGAAAGAAAGAAAGAAAGAAAGAAGAAAGAAAGAAAGAAAGAAAGGAAGAAAGAAAGAAAGAAAGAAAGAAAGAAAGAAAGAAAGAAAGAAAGAAAGATCCAATATAGCAGTCCTGGCATGCCCTATCCCCTTACTGGGCTTTGTCCTAGACACGCATGTCACACCTACATTTGTTTTTGTCTGTCTGCTGTGCTCTCCTTCTAAAATATAAGCTCCATGAACATGTCCAACAGACGTGTTGCACCATCAGTGCCAAAATGTCACCTGAAATTTAGTGGATGTTAGAGAATGACTTGCTAAATGAATGAATGACTGTTCTCTTCCCTTGAAGATTGAGATTGCATTGATCAGTGGTACCTACTGCCAACTATTTCCAGTTCTTTCCCCATTCTGGGCACTTGTGGGGATTATATGTCTTGCTTTTCTTATATAGGGCATTTAACTAGTTCAGTAAATTGTGGGGAATAAATACCCCAGAGTAGTTATTTATTTAGTGGTGCTGGCAATCGAACCCAGGGGGTCACACATGCTAAGGAAGCACTCTATCACTGAGTTACACCCCAGCTCTTTTTAGTTTTTTTGAAAGATTCTCTTTGAGTTGCCCACGCTAGCCTTGAACTTGTGATCCTCCTGCCTCATCTCCCAAGTAGCTGAGATTATAGGACTGAGTTACCTCTCCCACCAGTGACTGGCTAACTTTAAACTGCTAATGTGAGATCCTCCAGGTTCTCTTGATTGTCCTCTGGCACAGTGACATTAGATAGGAAGACTGTGCCATCAGCCTGCCTGGAGTAACTCTAATGAGCACAATGTCCTGGTCAACCTGCACAGGGCATGGATATTAAAAAGCAGTCTCTGTTACTTAAGGCCCTGAGATTTGGGCTATAGGTTAGCATAACCTAGCTTTTCCTGTCGGATGCAATAATCCTAAGTAGACAGTTGTACAACTGTCAGCCTCCCCGATTTCTTTAAAAGCTTTGGGGATTTGGGGGCACCTTCAAAACCCGAAAGTCACCAAAAACAAAAGCTTCCCCTTTGGAAAGTCAGGCTGTGTTCTGCCCTTCCCTTTTCCTCCTTACCAGAGGGGCAGGAGGAGGGAGTTTGGGGGACAGTATTAAAATAATTCACCCAATAGGGAAGCCAACACGCACTGGGACCACCTCTGCAGTGACTTCACACACTGACCACACACTCGAATTCACTGTGGTAATTCTTCCCCTTGGTCAAAAATAAAACAGTAAAACCCACTCTGCTGGGAGTGAGTCATCATCAGAAAAAGGCAAGAGCTCTGAGCCAAGAGGATCTGCTAACGAGGAGAAAACTCCCAGAGGAGGTGTTTCAGCAGATGCCAGGCTTTAGCCTTGGAACTGGATGACCAAAGGCAGGGCCAGAAAATTTTAATGTCCAGGCATTGGACAAACCCCAGGCAATATCCTAACCCTACCGGGGAGTAAAGTGGTTCAGGACTTCTTCCTGGTGAAGGAGGAATGAGTTGCTACTGTGTGAATGTGTGTGTGTGTGTGTGTGTGTGTGTGTGTGTGTGTGTGTGTGTGTTGTAGGAGGGGAGGCTATTTCTGGGAAGAAGGGGACTGAGCTATGAAAGATAGCATCTGAGGAGGCAAGTCCCACGCAGGGTGCCTCCTATTGAGGTTGGGGGAGGCAGCTACCTCTCCTGACCTCGATTTCTTGGCTGAAGGAGATGAACCTTAAGATAAACTTGATAAACTGTGGATTGGCTGCATGAAGTTATATCTCCATTTTCATCTCTATTCCCATTCCAGAAGCTAAATGTGGGGCTCTGGCCCTATGTCTCCTCCTCCATCCAGTGCTGAGAGCAGCCATTGACATGCCACCGAATCAGAGCTACAGCAGGAAGACAAACACTAAGCCTTCTGCACAGCTCATACAGCCATGAAGGTTGCATGCCTGGTTATTCCAGGCAGCCCGCAGGCTCCCATCCTCAGGAGCCTCTCCAGCCAGGAATCTGGGCTGGGTCTGGGGACCGGGAGTAGGGATGGAACAGAGATGGTGATCACTGGCAATTACTTCATAAATGGTATTTTAAAACTGATCTTTCAGTGATGTACTCTTAGCCAGAATCCTGTTGCTTCTTGCCACACCAAACTCTTACCCAGAGCCCAGGCTGGGTCCATGCCCCAGGCCTCACCCAGTACACTACACTCCTGAAAGAGAGTGATCTTTGGACAAGTGTCAGAGCTTTGGAGATAGTTGGATAACAGAAGGTGGGTACAAAAATATCTACAGACAATATAGGTTTCTGTAACAACCCTGAGAGACCTTCTTCTGCAAGCCAAAAAGTGGGAAAGATGGAAATAAGAGTCCATAAAGGCAAGTGTACACAAACCACAGAAGGCATTCACGAATAGCCCCTTTTGTTTTTTTCCAGTCCTATTGCACTGGAAGTTTGCTAGTCCAGTGGGAAAAAGAACAGAAAAGCCCATTTTCTTATTACCACCTTAGCCCTAGGGGTAAGAATGGTTCTCAAACTGGGTTCCTTGGAACAGCAACACCAACACAACTTGAGAACCTGCTAAAAATGCAAAAATCTCAAATCCCAGCCTCAGACCAACTGACTCAGAAACTCTGGGTGTGGAGCCCAGTAATCTGTGACTTAATAAAGCCCTCCAGGATATTGTGTTGCCTGCCAAAGTTTGAAAACCACTATTGTGGAGAAAATGTAGGCTCCCAGAGGGAAGAGGAAAGGTGGAGGAGGGATGGAGCCGAGGGGGCTGCTTGTGGCTCACACACCCCATCTCAGCTCCCCTGCTCTACAGCACCGTGGGGTGGTCTCTGGGTCATTCTTCCCATCTATCCAGAAACTACCTCATGTGGCAAGACTCAGAGACCGGGAACCTGTCCTCTGCTACAAATTTGGGAGGAAGGGGGCTCTACGATTACCACCAGAAAGAGGGAGAAGCTATGGAACAAAGCAGCCTGGGAAATTCTTGGCCATTGGACTCTAGAAATTTTAGGAATTACCTAAAAATTACTTTCAAGGGGAAAACAAAAAGCAGCAATGAGGATTCCCCTACTAGACACTAGGGGGAGGCCCATCTCTGGCCTGGGAAAAACCAGGAAAGCCAGATCTAGAAGAATTTATCCTACAATCCTCTCTCTTTCTCTCCTTCCCTTTCCCTTTCCCCCCTTTCTCCCTCTCCCTCTCCCTCTGTTTCTATGGTATTTAGATTAAGTCCAGGGTAAGGTGAGGGTCTGGGGAATTGGTTCCAGAACCTTCTACCCATACCAAAATCTGCTGATGCTCAAGTCCCTCATATAAAATGGCATAGTGTTGGCTTATAACCTATGCACACTCTCCCATAAACTTTAAATCATCCCTAGTTTGCTTGTAATACTTAATACAATGTAAATGTTACATAAATAGTTGTTACATTGTATTGTTTATGGAATGATGACAAGAAAAAAAAAGTGTATATATTCAGTACCCCCYCCTCTTTCTGAATATTTTCCATTGATTGTTGGTTTAAACCTGAATGCAGAGTCTTCTGATCAGTAGGGGACAGACTGTGTTTCCAAAGTCGGTTGCTGGCACTCTGCTAAATTAACCAAATCAAACCAGTGTTTCAAGAAGAAAGAGCTGAATCTTGAGTTAAAGCAGTGGAACTGGAAAGTACCACAACAGTATTTATCTATCTCCCCACTCTAAGCCCAACTTAGAGTTAACAAAACTGGGGTTAGAGAAGGCCTAGTCATTGCTAATCTCTGACAGGACACATAGGCCCAAAGATCCAGGAGCCCCAGCTTCACCAGAATCCTGTTTCCTCACCCATGAATGGGGGGGGGGGTGGTGGGATGTCTCCATGGACGAAGGCGCTGGTCAGAACCCCCTTCATAATTTTTGGGGACCCAGTGTGAACAGAAGATGCTCTGGCCCTTTGTTTAAAAATTAAGGCTTTTGAGATGAGTATAGTAGAGCCTTAGATCAGGAATGGGCCCCTGGAGCAAGCCCTGATGCGGATAGAAAAAGGATCTCACAGGTGAACTGTCCGTACCAAGTACAAAGCAGGTCAGCTGGGGTATTTCCGCAGCTAAGAGGAGAGGAGGATTTGATTAGGAAGAAAAACTCCCCCAATCCATGGGGCGCGGGAGTGTTCTCATAACCCAGGGCCCAGGATCATCATAATCCCTGTCTTCCAGGAAACGGGAAAACTCTACCCGGCAGGACTGTTAAGAGAGGGGAAATCCAACCAGAGTCAAAGTCTCACGCGGACGCCTGGAGGCAGCTTTCCGCGGTCAGCTTCGGAAACGTCCCCAGTGCTCGCTTCCCTCCGCGTCACGCGACTCGCCACTGCAAGCGGGACCTTCCCGACCCACGTCGGGCTCGGCTAGCCAGGGGTGGCGGCAGCGGCGGGCCAAGGGATGAGCGAGCAAAGCAGCACAACCCTTTTGAAGGCATGGACGCTGGAGAGTGACAGAGGACACCCAGACAGTGGATGTCCCACTGTCTGGTTAGACCCCATCCTCAGACAGTTCCAGAGCCCTTCCCTTGCAACCCGCCGTCTCACCGGGGCGTGCTGGGGAGCGGGAGGTGGATGGATCTGAGAGGGAGAGGCCGGGCTGAAGGCAGAGGGACCCCTACAGAAAAACGCGCCTTCTGAGTCGTGCTGTATAGAACCTTCCCTATGCAGCATCCTTCAGTGGACCCAGATGTCCACTCGGCTGCGTGAAGGCACCCCTAAATCCACCCTCGCTCAGGCCCGCCCATTGCTGACCCTGCCCCTCGGTCCGTTGGTTGTTCCCTCGGGTGGCCCTTCCTGCTTCTCTGAAGTCTCCCCGCCTCCGCCCCGCCCTGCGGGCTGCGGTCCCTTTAAAGGCGCGCTGGTCTGGGGCCGCCTCTTCTCTCGGGGCCGGCTCGGGAGTCTAGCCACCGCGGGAGCCGCCGCCGCCGCCACTAGCCAGGCATGGCCATGGCGTCCCCGGCCATCGGGCAGCGCCCCTACCCGCTACTCTTGGACCCCGAACCGCCGCGTTATCTGCAGAGCCTGAGCGGCCCGGAATCGCCGCCGCTGCCGCCGCCCCCCAGCCGCTCCTCGCGCCGCTGCGTCCCCGCTCCCCTCTCCACCGCGCCCGGGGCGCACGAGGGGCGCGGCGTCCGGAGGGCTGCCCGGGGGGACCCCGATCCTCAACCCCGGGCCTCCAGACCCGCTCGCCCTCTCCGGCCTGGTCTGCAGCAGAGACTGCGGAGGCGGCCTGGGGCGCCCCGGCCCCGCGACGTGCGGAGCATCTTCGAACAGCCGCAGGATCCCCGCGTCCCGGCGGAGCGAGGCGAGGGGCACAGCTTCGCCGAATTGGCGCTGCGGGGCGGCCCCGGTTGGTGTGACCTATGCGGAGGAGAGGTGCTGCGGCAGGCGCTGCGCTGCGCCAGTGAGTGTCCGGGCAGGGCAGGGAGGGGCGCGGGAAGACCGCAGACCAACCGCAAGGACCATGAGGGGTAGGAGAGAGGGGACATTGCCGTCCTTGGCTCCAGAGGAGACCCAAACTTAAGGCCAGTAACCCCCGAGACTCTGCTCCTTATTTCCCTGCCTCTTATCCTTAGTGACTGCGCACTGCCCAGGAATGGTTGTGCGGTGTTTGACAAATACCTCTCTGCTGACAGGTGCGTTCCTGGGCCTCACCCCACCCCCAGCATGCACGCACACAGGCAAGCTTGCGGGTTGGGGTTGATGGCCCCCTGAAGGTCATCCCCTGGACCCTCTTGCTTTAGTTGTGAATTCTTGGAAGAGGATTGTGAGACTGATATTGAAGTGACCATTTGACCTTTGCTTATTTGTGTTAATGGAAAAAATGGCTTGTTTGTCCGCCTATCGTTCAAGCCCAGACCGCTCCAGGGGAACCTTTTGGGACAGGGAGGAGACTTAGCTAAGCTTTGGATGGAAACAGGCTGTGAGATTGAAAAGAGCTTGAGGAAAGAGCTTGGGGTCAAGCTCTTTTGGTCAAGCAGGACTGGTACCCGCTTCTGTCTTCTACCCCTGGCCCCTCAAACCTTTGGACTCTGCTCCAGTATGTGGCTGTGCCCTGCCTCCTCCTCCTCCTCCTGGGTTCCTCATCAGTCAGTCATCAAGCTCCAAAAATGATCCAACTCCCTTCTGGGTCCCTTCTTCCCAGGCCCCTCTGGTTGCCTCCCCAGCCACACTGGTCTCAATCCTGACTATAAAACACTGAGCACCCAGTGTAGAGATTTTTCTAAGCAAATCTGCAGTCTTCGTGGGGCTTATTATTTTCTCCTCCTACAGTAAGGTGTGTGTATTCCTTTAATAGGTGTCTTCCCTCCACCCCTGCATTTGCTGTTGCCAGTTTGGCAGAGGATATCCACAGCCATGTGTTTATGTAGATATTTTAAATATCAGAAGCACAAAGCACAGACAATGGCACAACCTGTAACCAGCATCTCTGGAAATGGATTGTGGTTTGCATCTTTCAGCAAAGGCCCTTCCCCCCATGACAGCAGCCCCACATCTCCCACCCCACTGCAGCCCTGGACAGCAGCCATGGCTATGTGAGTCAGGAGAGCCCTACTCTCCCTGCAGCCCACAGTGTGCCTCCTGCTGCAGCTGGCTGCCAGGAAGGAGAACTCAGACAGACTCTAAGCCAGGGTCAGGTGGAAGGGGACAATTGAAGGAGAAAGTGGGTGCTGTTCTTACATCACCAGATCTCACAGTTTAGGTGCCAATTAAAATGGAAAGAGCAACAGTTACAGATAGAGGTATGTGTCCTGTGGGGGAGGGGCTGCCACTTGGCCAATGACTCTGACCTGACAGACAATCCAATGCGACAGGAATATGTTGGCGACCTTTTCCTCTGGAGGGTCCTGGGGTACTTTACTGCATCTACTCACCTTATTATACACAGGAGAGAAGCAATATCCTCACTGTAATGGGTTTTATTGTCTGGAATCCCAAGAGATCTGCTTCATTGGCATTCTTGTTTATATTTAGACTTTTGGGGACTACATCTATTGTTGAACATTTTGCACATAGTTTTATGATAATTTTTTGGTTTGGTTGTAAGTAGTGTATATGTATGTGTGATACTCCATGGTTAAATGACGTTATCCTCACATCACCTTAGAATTGTTTGTTTCATTGGGTTAAGCCATAAGTGGCCTAACCCAATAAGTTAGGCCATGAGTTTCTACTGTCATGAAGACCCTGTCCTTGGGTAGTACCTCTGCTGTTGTGTGTGATTTGGTAAAGTCTTCACTTTGTTGGGCTTCCAGTTGGTTTGAATCCAACCCGAGATGTCTGAACACTAGAGAGGAAACAGACTGGAATCAAGGGGCTACAGAGAGGAGTCTCTCTTTGTTGTTATTAATATTTAACTAATCTTGAGCCTGTGACTGGCTGGGAAAAGTTGAGAAATGTTCTGATGTGCAAGTTTAGTTTGGCTGGCAGGACAAACTCACTGAGCATCTTGTTTTAAGTTGGTCTAATTCCATAATGAGTTTGGTTGTTTTCATTTTGAAAAACCAGGACCAGGAAAAGGCTTTTTATTTGTTTATTTATTTTGGTACAGGGGATTGAACTCTCAGGGCTTTCACCACTGAGTGACATTCCCAGTCCTTTTTTAGTTTTGAGATAGAATCTCATTTAGTTTCTGAGACTGGCCTTGAACTTGTGATCCTCCTGTCTCAGCTTCCCAAATTGCTGGGACTATGAGTGTGCACCACACCACACACCAGCATAGGAAGGACCTTTTAAAAGTCAACACTATGCAGTGATGAAGAGCACAGGCTGTAACCAGAGTCCTGGGCTTGACTCCTGACTGCTGCTTAGTTTTTGTGTGACCTTGTGCATCTCTGTGTTCTGTTTCCCTGTTTAAAAACATGGAGATCATGTTTTAGATCATGCTAATGTGAGAATTCAGTGGATTTATCGTGTATATGTAAAGTGCTTCCGATGGTGCATAGCAAAGGGCAATGGACATTTAATTCAATATGACTTGCTGTTATCCCTTCCCATCCAACAGCCACAACAACTAGCCTGGGCTTGTGATACCTCCTGGGACCGCTTTTCTAAGGAGTGAGTGCAATTTTCAAACTCAGCCTGTTTGCCGAGCTGCATCGGGAAATGAGTGCTGTAAGCATCCCGGAACGTTTGGATGTTAAATGCCCTCTAGAAATGGCACTCCTGCCCAATGTCTTCAGGAGGAGCCTGCTGTGGCAGAGGAGCATCCTTACAGAATGCCAGTGGCTGAGACCCTTCTGTGCCCAGCTGAGGGTTTACAAAGGCATTAGCTCCTTGTCTGTGTGCCACCTGCACCCAGCAAAGCGCCAGGCATAGTTTCAATAAGTGGAAGTTGAAGGTGGTGACTTGTTTGTGCTATTAAAGCTCCCCGTTCTTGGAAACAAGCAGAAGGGCAGTGGGTACGTGAATGACATCTGTCTGCACAGGAGGCTGGCACTGGGTGGGAGCCATGTTGGCAAATGGGCTTTTTAATAAGGGAAGCTTTTAGAAAATTGTCTTTGCACCTTCTGTCTTCCTAACTTAAGCTCCCTCTACTTCAGGGTCTGTAACTGAGCTCTTGTTGGATTTGCAAACAAGAAAGTTCAGAGTTCATACTAGTTTATAGGAGCAAAGAAATCACATTTGTTAGATAGAGAGGGAAATCAGTGGACATTGGTGCACACACACACACACACACACACACACACACACACACACCTTTCAGGTGCCCAAGGTAAATACAGAAGCCTCCAGGACACCAAAGGACACTTTCCAAGATGTTTACAATGAAAACCTTCCAGCATTTCAGGAGAGAATGGACAATAGCAAATAACCTGCAAAACTCTCCAGCTGCCCTTTGGCTTTGTTCTCAGGGACTGTCCCTTAGGAATCATGGACCCTTAGTTTTGTAGAAGGCACATGAGGTGATTTTATCTTTCATGTAAATTTTGGTGGATGTGTCGGCCATCCTGGGCCAGGGAATCATCTGGCAGTTGGAGAATTTAAGTGCAGCTCACATGGCCCKGGAGGAGACGCTTAGACATCCTTTGTACACTGCAGGTGACCACCGTGTGCCTTCTAGAGTCAGAGTCTCTCTCCAGAGGGGGCGTTTTCAGAGCCATGATGTGTTAAAGGACTGGAATGATAGGGTTGAAAGGGGGCCCTGGGGCTCATCCTCCTGACCTCCCCCTCCCGTGATAGACTAATTATGGAGTGAGTAAGGTGTTTACCATGAGGCGCTCGGGAGGGACTCAGTGTCTTTTCTTACTGAGCGAGGCTGGTATGGCATAGAGCTCCGTAAGAGCTTTCTAGTTCCTGTCACTGCATTAATGGCTGGGTTTAAGTAGGCTCTCTGCAGGACTGGAACCACCCATGTGAGAGCCCACTGATCCTGCAGAACCATCCCTTGTTGGGGGTTCTTTGCAAAAAAAGGTTACTGGGATATTGCTGTGGACTCTTCCTGGAGMGGAGAAAGGTCTTCATTGCAGACATCTTGGAAAGTGTCCTTTGGTGTCCTGGAGGCTTCTGTATTTACCCTGGGCACCTGAAAGGTACTTGTTTGGCACTCCYAGGGGTGTTGAAGTGTGCACTGGTGTTCCCCTTGATTTAGACCCATGCTTGCCTTTGGAGGCTGGAAGACTGAGCACAGAAATGGTTGTTTTGTTGTTAAGGATGGTGGGAATCCCTCACCCCTATTCTCTCCCCTCCTCCTGGCTCTAATTAGGGTCTTCTTGGGACAGGTCCTATTGGAGGGTGTGTGTTAGGAGACAGGGAAAGGACACACATTGCTTTCCAGAGGCTTCTGAGCCCCTCACTCTGCACCCCCTGTTATTCCTCCCCTCCCTGCTTCCTGTCGTCTCAAAAGATGAAAGTGAAAGGATTAAATGTGGGCTTAATTTCCCCCCTATTCATCAGAGCATGAAATTTTCTGATTATGGAGTGTGAGGGGCTTGAATCACAGGTACAGTCAAAAATGATTAATGCCACTTGTCTGCCAGCCTAATTAGACTTGGTAATGAACGTGTGTGTTCGCCTGCTGATCCTGCAGAGTTATTAGGTGGGAGTGAATTGACATCTCCCCTCAGCACTGAGGGTTGGTTRGATCTGGGTTTCTCTCGTCTCCCCAAGTTTACTTCTAAATCAGCCTCTGCCAAGCCTGGAAGGTAGGCCAAGAGTGACAAGGAAAGACAGCCCCAGTCCAGGCCCAGGGGCCCTGCTGGCTGGTGGAGAGAATTCATCCYGTCAGGGAGGGTGTGGGTCAGACTGGAGCCAGGCCCAGCCAGGTCTGAGAAGGAGCTCAGGAAGAATTCTTCTCATGTCAATAATGCTTTTCTCTGAAGAGCCCAGATGTTTTCATGCCACTGTGTTCATTCTCAAAATAACTTCATGAGTATGGAGGAAGCTTCTGCTGAAATCTCACAT